GGCTGTGATGGGGTCTGTGGCTGTGAAGGAGTTGGATGATTTTGTTGAGGTGGTGAAGGAGTAGTTTTAGCCTGAGGTTGTGGTTCCTCTTTGTTTTCAGAGATTTGTACGGGGCCCTTTGTCCACTTGAAGGACATTTTGGATTTATTTTCCAGAGTTTTACTCTTCGCCAGTCTTTGTCTCTTCTCATCAGTAAAATATGCAGAGGGAGGTGCAAATTCTGATTCACGCTCTTCCCGGCGCCGACTTTTCCACTCGCTAAACATGAACTCTGAAATAAAAATAAACAGCTGTTAAAAGGCTAATTTTCAGATCCAGCACACGCATCCAGTTTATTGTTATAGGCGAGTAACCACGATCTTTATAACCCTTAACAACAAACAGTTATAGCAGACAGCAATTCCTTGTTCACTTTGAATTCTCTCATATAAATATCTAAGCACAGCTCCACACAAGGAGACAGTGCAGGACACTTTTGTCCACCTCTGTACTCGTGACGTAAGGAGGAATTCAGCATATTTATTATGGGTACTTAAATAATAAGGTTTACCTTTGCCTCTGTCCCATTCTCTGACATGAGGAACTCCTGGTTTAGTGTCCTTTCTCTCTTGGATCTCCACTTCCACCTTCTTCACTGTGCTGACCTTTGGGGAGTCCTCTGGTGGAGGTGGGGGTCCTATTAGTTCAGCTTCCTCTTCCTCTCCTGGGAGAAACAATTCACAGCAATCCCCTATTATTACTCATGAGATCATTAAAATGCAGTATGCAAACTGACTTCTACATTTCTGTAATACCAAACAGGGTGGATTCTGACCTTCATTCTCCTCTCTCTCTGCTTCTTCATTGCCATCCAGCTTGGTCTTCATCTTCCTCTGCCTCACCTTGGCCAGTCGGGCCTGCAGGATGGCCTGCCTCTTATCCTTCAGTCGTTCTCTTTTACTACGCTGATCTGTTGTCTGAAGAACACGACAGATGCAGGGAAACAAAGATTGAGCAAAACTGAAAGAGGCATGAATCATCTCTTTAGACTGAAAATAGCTTGTATTCACTGAATCAAAGAAGCATACAAGGACTTTTAGTGTGTAGCAGTATGGCTAAAGCTGGTAACAGCTAATGATAAAACAAGGTGAATACAAAAAGGGGTATATGGCCATCTATGTTGGACTAGTAGTGAGAAGGGGGACAATTTTATTATGTTTATATTCACACACTTCAAATAAACATTTCTCTTGAGTTTATATTTGCCAGGTGATCCGCAGCTCACCTGGTCTCTGAGCATGTCCAGAGTTTCTCTCTGTTTTCTACGCTGGTCTTGATCCTGAGAGAACGCAAAGTAGCCCACACCAAGCTCTCGAGCCTCTGAGATGAACAAACACACACATTTTTTTAATTTCTTTTTTACAGCACAAGACTGAAGCAAGTCCCTTAATTTCAAATACACTTAAAAAAAAAGCTTTGGAAAAGCTTTGATAGTAACCTTGTCCTCTGATATCCTCATAGTGTATTGGTCCAACAGGCCTCTTCAGAGCCTCCTCTTCCTCCCTCTCCCACTCCTGCCTCTGCAGCTCTCGACGCATGTCCTCTGAGAGTAAGGTCTTCTCAGTTGAGGTTTTTCTACATGGAATAACAATAACAAATAAAAGGGATGCAGTTCCCTGCATGACACCAAAATCTAGTCTTCTGTGTTAAAAAAATAAATAAATAAATAAAAAACATTGCCTGCATCTTTAAAGTGTTATTCATTTATAGACAACTAGATTTACCCTTGTCCTTTGAGGTCTTGGTCCATTTTTTTAAAATCTGGCAGATCCTTCTTCATGCATCTTCGAGATCGGCCCAAAGCGTCCACATAGTCCACCCTACAGAGAAACAAAACAGCAGGAGAACAGTTTATGAATAGGTTTTTAATCATTTTCTACTTCAGTCATACTTATACTTACATAAAAGAATACATTTTCATATTTTTTATTTGTACTTGTTATCATTATAAGGAGCATGGTGGGGTTAGAAGAGGTCATGGTAGTACCAGTTACAAATATCGTTCAGAGTAACATAAAAACATACTACATATTACCAAAGCTAAACCCAAGAAAATGAACTGATCAGACATTACCATTCCTCTTCTGGGTTTTGAGGAGCAGGTATAGGTGTCAAATCATCTCTTTCCTCATCCTCCTCTCTCTCTGTGTCCCTCTGTGCAAGTGATTGTCTCTTTTTGTCAATAATCTTCTGCGTGAAATCAACCAGGAATAGACCCTCTGTCTCCTCATCTGACACAAGACAAGTTAAATCAAAGTAAATACATTTCATTGTGTAACAGACTATCAGGGGGGATAATTTATACTTTACACCAACCTGGAAAGTCTCCTTTTGTCATCTGATCGTAGAGTTTGGCCTTCTCCTCCAACTTGCGTCTGTTGTGAAAGCAGGAATGAGGTGTCAGATGTTTTCATCACTTGTGTTTTGTGGCAGTAAACACTCTGTATATGTGCTGAACTCACCTTGCTGTGTCAAGATTGTTCTTCTCCTCGGCCAGTTGCTCTGCATCTCTCTCAGCCCTTGCTGAAACACCAGCGTTTTGTTTGCTCCAGACATTAGGTTTCTACACAGTAGCATAGAGACAAGATATGCCGGTCAGTGATCTGTTATTATACGAGCAGGTAAAAATATGTCCCACAGTAACACATACTGTACCTTCTCTTTGGATTTTGATTTGAATCCAGCGCCGGTATTTTCTTGCTCAAGTTTCTCCTGTTTGAATTTCTCCTGCTTCCTGTACAGTTCAGCTTTAAGGTCCACTAACTGTAAGAAACAAAACATTAGCGGAAAATCAGTTTGTTCTTTAGCTAACACAACTGTAGCCTAACTGTGTGTTTGCTAGTAGTTTGGCCTGACAGCAAGTCAGCTAACGTTAGTCGTTATTATTAATTGATTAAACGCAACACAGCCACACATGGTATGAATAAAGAGGTTGTAAATCTCGCAAACTCACCGATGAAGCAGTCACTTGGAAGGGGGTCTTCTTTTTATCCATGTTTATTACTTTTTTTCCGACACCGTAACGATTCAGGTTGATGCTGTGATAACCTACTCTGACTTCTTCGTGGGTGTTTCCCTCGCTGGTGAAATATTGTTTTACCGCCAACTAGTGGCAGTAACTACAGCCAGAGACAGTTTCAGCGCACTTCTTCTTTTGATTTGATTGGCGGTTAGCAACCAGCTTTCAGGTGCATTACCGCCACCTACCGGACTGGAGTGTGGAACATTAGATTGGTAGGAAATAAATAAATATAAATGAATGAATGAATGAATAAATACATGAATTGATTAATTTAACAAAGATAATTAGATGAATAGATGACTGCAGATTCCCCCTGATGCATCTCCAAGCAGGTTCCCAACAGCGAATGTTATCTTAGCCTTCTTTGATCTCAGAGTCTTCCTTTCCTCCTCATAACCCCCTACAGCTCATGCTGAACAGATTCTAGATGAATACAGTGTGCACATCTACCAGTTGGATGTTTGCCTATTTTGTGTATTGTCAGATTGAGTCTGGTATGTCCTATCCTGAGACCAGTACCATCTTCACACTGCCCCATGACTCTGTCTTAATCACATTTTTTCTCTCCTCACATCCTCTTGATTTCTTCACAAGCTGAGCCCATTTCTTAAATAGTATCTCCACTATAAAATATCTGTAGTAGGGACTTGCAATGCAAAGGTTTACTTGAAAAGTAAAACTTCATTCAAAGGTTCCCTCTGCTTTCTGTGATGATCTCAAGAACAAATGAGTGCAAAAATGTTTTAGAAATGATATGAACATTTGCCCCCCGATCTTCTCATAGTGAATCAGCCTCCTCCTAGCTTTTTCTTCCTCTGTCTTCTACCCCTCTCTTCTAGATTGCAGCCGTCAACACATGTTCTTTGATACAGTATGTCAGCTGGTTCATAGAAATAATTATACAAGTCAGGCTAAGATGACCTGACCTGTACTTTTGTGCAGTATTTAGAAATGAAAACCTTTTAATATAAACCTATGGCATTAATGCCTTAGTGGAACTTAACATTTAAGGTACTTTCTTATCTGCTTCCAAGCAATTTGACCACTGAAGAGAGTGTAGTAGTTCATTACTTACACTCATTAGCAACAAACACAGCAAGAGACAACTCTGAAATGTCATATAGTAAAATGTGTGTGAATAGATGCCCTGAACACTAAATCTGTGTCTCGGGTTGAGGTTGTGGATATGGATCAATTTGGGATCTAAAATTTGAGGATGTGGTTCCTTACTGTACTGCACACATTCTCATGTCAAAGAGAGACAATTAATGGTAACTGAGGAGGACGAAGAAGAAGAAGATGAAGAAGAAGAAGGCGGCTCTGTCTCTGTTTCAGCTTTGTTTGATTTAAATAGCAAACAACAGAAAACTGAGCTGTTTTCAAAATGTTCACTGTTCCATATCAGCTCAGTGACATAACTGTGTTGATACAAAGTCAGTGTTCACTCTTTGTAAACACTATTAGCGATTAGTTCCATGTTCAGTGTTACAGTCCAAGAACTAATGGTCTATTCTCGTAATGTGAATGTGCACATAGAATAGTCTGAATCAGCCTCATTTATCAGTATCTCTGTGACCGCAGTACTATTACATCCATCACCCCATTGAGTAGATAAAATGATCAGCAGGTCACAACAGAGAAATGTCTACTTTGTTATCAATTTAAACATTTGAACAGTCCAATGCTTCCAGGATATGGCAGCACAAGTACCTGTTACTATTCCATTTCATGCATTTTTAAACCTGTATGAAAGAGGATGAAAGGTATATAAAGGTGTGAAGCCAGAGGCACCCAAACACAGCACTATAGGCTATTTCAAGGAAAAGAACATTAGAGTTAGCATCAGATTTTGAGCAGATTTGATTTTTAATCTTTTAACCCTGTAGTTTGCTTCATAATTTTGTGTGGTCGATCGAGCAGTGGAGATTTTTGTTCCACCATGTTTTTGAAAAGAAACACCTATCTGTTGGTTTGTCTGTTGTGCTCTCTGACCCTGTGGTGTAAGTCAACCAGTGCTGGCTCCAGTTATCTCAGCCCTTCACAAAAACCTCAGGTAAGGTGCTGTCTGTCTGGCATTCATTTATAAAACTACAGATAAAAATGGAATGTAAACCAAGGACAGTTCATCCTCAAATGATCTAAATCCTCGTCACTTTCAGCATAATTCAATACTCCATAAAGAGGACTTGGTTGTGTGTGTTTTGTTGTGTGGTTGATATTTGCTTGAAACTCTGTCTGATGCTTTTTCATGTAATACCAAACCAGATATTGATATTTTACTCTTAACTGTGTTTGTTTATTTAAAAAAAAACAAAAAAAAACATGAGATTTCTCTGATTTCTGGGTCAAACACAGAACAGGGGGAAATCTCCCAGAGTTGGCCGCCAAGTCATGGAGGAGCCTGGTCAACCCACTGAGGACAACCACATCACAGTGAGTGGAAATCACACAGCACATTAGCACAGCATACCACCTAAAATCATCCCCGCAACTTTATGGTCTTCCTCTCCTCTGCGTAGGTAAGTGCCCCCTTTGAAATTGGCATCACCATGACAGCAGAGGACTTTGAGGAGTACGGCGTGATGCTGCAGGAGTTCATCCAGCGTCTGCTGGGAAACACAGAGACAGCAGGTGCACCCAACCCCTCTGTTTTATACATAAAGAAAAGCTGTGTGCCTCTGGGCCAATATATAGTCAGATAATTAGACTTCCAATTTTAAATGTTATCTTTAATATTTAATGTCTCTTTTTGTTTCAGAGAGACCATCACAACTTTGATCATGGTCAAGATTCTCAAATTTGCTGTCTCAATGCCTTATAATTTCAACTATATTAAATAGTGATCACTAAAATATAAGAGAAAATAAGTGTCAGTAGCCTGTAGACATGCTCTTCTCATTTCTTTCAAAACTCATTGTATTCTTTGGCTGTAAAGCTTTCAAAACAGCTACTCAGACTGTTGCTAAATAAGCTACTGTCTGTACCATTAAATCTAGCAGACATGACCAATGTACAAAAAAAACATGAAACTTTTCAGTAGATGAAACCATGTGTAAGATTTAACAAAGTAATCTTAAAAGATCTTTTTGGAGCTTTCAACCACATCCCAATGTCTTCATCAGTGATGGAGATGGTTCTGCTGTCATCACGTGACCTTGTTACATGGTTGAATATGAATTGAAAATAATTCACAAGTTAATTTCAGTTTAATATAGTTATATATGGAAATTGAGTTTAAAGTATTTTGTCAAACTACTGTTCTCGGTAATGAACATCCACGCTCAAATGTGTAAAACTGTAGTGAAATTGTCTCACGTAGGCATTCACTGTAAAGTCAGACTCCCCCATTCTATCAGATGAATTACTCATGTTCATACCTGTATGATGTTCTAATGTTATCCAGAATTAAAAACCCCTATTCTATACCAGTAGAGAATGTACTGTACAATCAGTCCTTATTTGTCTTCAGAGACGTCAGTGCTCGTAAGAATAAAGCATCAATTGAAGTTTTGTCTCTCTGTCTAATCTATGAGTGGGTCTTTATCAAAAAATAATTATCTGGGGTATGTTTTTTTCCCTTTAAATTGAGAGTGGTTTCTCGGTTTCAAATGTTGTGATATACAGTATCTCTTTAATATGCTAGCAAAAACCAACAGAAAGAACTTCCTGTTCAAATCTCAGAAACTAGGTCAAACACAGCGAAGCACATACTGCTGTGATGCTGTGTTGTTTCCTTCTGGCCTACATTATGGAAAAGGATGTGAAACACCTGGAAACAGGGCTTTCATTAGCAACCTGGCAAAAGGAGAATTCAGTGTATTTTAACACATTCCTCTTGTCAAACCTGATACACAAGAGACACATCTATTCATCTGCCATTAATCTAGTCTTCATACTCTAACCACCAAGATATGTCACAAGGAGGCCAGGCTAATCATTCTCAAAATAAAAAGCACTCAAGCCAAATGTGTGTGATAAACACGGCAGTACCAAAGCAAGCTAATGGACCAGTCTCACAGCCTCATCCTTTCTTCAATAAAGACTCAGCTTTGCTCAAGGCAAGCATCACACGTGTTTACTTCACTATGTTACAGACGATATTTTACTCTCTTCATTTTACATTTTCAAGTGCTCTTCCATCAGCGCTTATGTACATTAAGGAGTAAATCAATAAACTGTAATGATAAAATGAAGAGGCAGGGTCAAGGGCTTTTAATATGTCTGCGCTATCACACGACTACACAGTGGCCAAACAAGGCAAACAACCAGACAAATTAGAACAAGCTAAGGAAACACAGCAAGAACAAAAACTTAAAAGTAGAACTTCTTAAGAATTAATTTCTATGATGAAAAACGCCATAAAATATGAACACAAACAATAATTTACTGTATCTCTGTCAGACAAGAGACGTTTTCATTTCAGTCCGTTTTTTTTCTTAATTCAGTGAAAGCCCAATATGTGAATCTTTCAGGATGTTTAAAATGAGACCGCTCCTCCATACTCCAACATCTCTATGCGGAGGATTGATAAACCTAAAACAAAAAGCTGCATAAAATGTTTATGTGTCAAACCACCTGAAGAACACTGATTCTTTCTCTTCTTTCTGGCTAGTTTGTAATCCATTACCTCTAAAGATCATATTCCGTAGAGCTGAGTGGTGTTGTTTCGGACGGTGGCGAGGACTGTGGCCATATCTTCTCCCTTCAGCAGGCTCAGCTCCTGCAGAGTATGGATGCCCATTCCAGGATGTGAAAACCGGCAGACATCTTTACTCACCTGTTAGAGAGTAAGACACACTTATATGTATGTAGGCAAAATTTAGTGGACAAGGAAAGCACCGCAAATCTAACAAAAAAGGGGTTCATACAAAAGTTGGGCTATTATGTTATGTTATGTATTAAATGGCCAATAATATATATTTTGTACCAATGATCAATATCTGGCTAGCTTGTTTCTTTGTCCATTCTTGGCATTGAAAACATTTTCAGATGGTATTTAGACCATCATCGGATGTTCAAACTAAAACCAAGACTAATACACAAGTCTATTCAATTTAGCAACACCTTACGGCAAAAGGTCCACAATACTTGTTCAATAGAAGGGGAAACTCAAGAACCCATTCATCTTCAAAATGAAGATTTAAAAAGCATAATTATCCAGTAACATTATGACAAATGTAAAGAAGCTGAACAGGACACAAAGTGACTTCAGGCTATAATTAAAAAATTCCAAGTTATTAATAATATTAAGATTCTGGGGAAAACCCTGCCTCAACAGTGGCATTAAAGCAGTGTTTTGGTTTTTATAGGCATTCCTTTAAATGTACCTGTGTTGGCAGGAAATAAGGTGCATCTGTCTCCAACACAATGCGGTTAAGAGGGATCTGGCGAACAGCATCTCGGGCTTCGGTGGCTCTGGAGTAGGTGATCAAGGCAGTGAAGCCCACATACAAGTTGGGGAACTCTGTCAGGAACGGCTCAATCACTGGATAACTGTTTGTGAAACAGTGCCTGGAAACCACACAAGTATTCAAGACAGAAAATTCAAAGATTAAATGTGCAACAGTTTGAAAATCCTTAAATCAAATCCTCAAGATCTCAGTCCAAGTTGGTTTGGAGCAAATTTGCGAAATGAATCTGCTGCTGAAAATGACTGTTGTTTTCTAGATGCATTTTTGATGAACAATCACAGTCAGCGCTAATCGCACTTACAAACATATTTTGCTTTGCAAATTGAAGTCCTTTAATGTGAAGCAAACAGTAACACTGGATTACATGCTGCATAATTTCCCTTCCCATAATTCCCCTCAATCCCTGTTTTGGTAGGCAGTTTGAATGCAGCACAGGAATGATGGACTCCAACAATGAAAACTACTATATAGAGAGATAAAGGTAATAAATAGTATCAAAATCTTAGGGATTATAACTTTAAATGGAACAGAAATACTGCCTTTATAACGTTTTTCATGTTGATAGAGAAGACAAAAAATGTGATGTAAAATGAGAATAATTAGTCATTGTTTTCCTCCACACACACCTGTGAATTTTGTAATCCCTAGGAATACACTTCTTCATGATCGTCAGTAGGTCATCATCTGCGTCCCTACAATGGATCACCAGAGGCTTCTGCATGGCCACTGCCAAACGCAGCTGACGCTCAAACACCTTCTCAGAGAAGCAGACAAAACAAAACAAGATACGAACCACAATATTCATTATTATTTTACAGTATCATTATTTCATTCAACATAACACATTTCAGACGATTTCAAAATGATAATTAATGCCTATCTAGTTCAAGACAAATCGTTACTGGATTAAAAACTTTTATTTAACTGGGATCATGTCAAATAAGACCTTACCTCTTTTTGCCTGGAGGTGTCGGTTGAGTTTTTGTGCGAGTAGTCCAGCCCCATCTCACCAAATGCCACAGCTTTTGGATGTCGCATGGCCATCAGTATGTTGCGTTCATGGACACTTGAGTAATCTTTGGCAAAGTGGGGGTGGCACCCGAATGCCCCCCATACCATGTCTTCAGTAAGCAAACCTTCCCACAGGGCCTCCTTCACCATGATCCCTGGGTTGCAGAAGTCTGCAATACAGCCTCGAAACTCTGACGGAAAGCTGCTCTGGTACCGCCGTCGAAAACTGCTGAATGTCCCGCGGAAGCCAAGTTTTCCATAGAGCATGTCTATATGGCAGTGTGTGTCTATGAAACCAACCTGATTGACCTGATTGTAGGGGTAACTGGTCCACACAGGTTTTGCCCCCAGGGACAATCTTCTCTTAGGAGTGCCACCATGAGTAAAAGAGTAGGGGGGGTAATGGATGTTGGAGCCAGCATCTGACCACCTGCGTGTGTTTGTTGAGTTCAAGTAAGGGTTCGATACTTCTCTATTTGAGTACAGCGGGAGGGCAAAAGGATCCGATAAATTGACCATAGAGCTGGAGGAGCGAAAATTCTCAGTCTTAACTCTGGATGCCTTTGAAGGGCCAGTGTTTGGTGTTTGGGGTTCCTTAGATGAGACAATAACTGTCCTCTGTGACGGCAAGAAGGGCATCTTCATGTACTCAGCAGCTGCATGGAAGGGTGCAGTGCTTTCATTAGTGGACAAAAAAGAGAGAGAGGAAGTTGAACCACCCTGGTAATTCACCAAAGGACTTTGGTGATGTTGGCTGACAGAAGAGCCTTTCTGAGGAGTTGTGAAGCAAGACCAAGATTCTGGGATATACTCCAGAGCAGGGAAGGATGAGTGACAGTCTTCAGCTTCTGCCTCATTTTTTGTATCAATTAACTCATCTTGAGAGGTTGTCTCTACAACCACAGAGTCATGTGCCAAAAAACCCTTGGGAGAATCCTCTCCTTTTAGCACAACACACTGAAAAACATAATAGTGGAAAAATTACAAAAACATATCCCATTCCCCCTCAATCTTCAGTGCCTCGATAATTATTCTATCATCACAACATTTTAAGGATATTAGTTTCCTGGCTTCAGTACAAATGTGGTCACTTTTTTCAAAAACACTAAAATCATTAGCTAAATGAACAAAACTTACATCACAGACAAGAAAAATAACGGAGGACATGCAAATAAATGTTTTAAGTTATATATAAGCAAAATAAACTACAAGAAAAGAGGAAAAAAAGAGGAAGAGAAAATGGTTCTTAAGAGTTAGGAGACTTACCCTTCTGTCTGTTTTTGGCACAGAGCTGTCATCTCGGGCTTGTGTGTCCTCAAACACCTGTGGGTGGGACCATTCGTCTTCCTGGACAGTCCTGTTGTCTCTGGATGTATACTCAGGTTTGACCGAGGAGGGGTTAATATTTATGACAGTTCTGTCAAGTGATGTTTGACTGTGCACTTCAGTCATCACAGGCGACGATACAGGTTGCAAAGATGGGCTGTTAGTGTCAGTCCTGAGGATGTTAGAAGTGCTGCATCCTGCATTTGTGCTGCCAAGGGCAGCCATCACTGCTTTCCTGTAGATAGCCTTTGATCCCTCCTCTGGCGTCCTATCTTTCTTTTTCAAGATGAAAGAATGAGACAGAGGTGGTGATACTTGCTGGCTCTCTGTGGATTCCAGCTGCTTGGGTGAGTTGTCCATAGGTTTTTCCTGACAGTTATGGTGCAACAGGACAGATCAATTGTTATTTCATCACAAGAACCGAACATAATGCATGAGACAGCCTATTTGAGACAATGGACAGAGCCAGGTTTACAGTAAAGATTTACCTTTGAAGTTATGAATGTCTCAAAATTTTTCTTGGAAAGCTTCCTCAGCTTAACTTTGCCTATGGAGGGTGTGCTTTCACCAAGAACCTCTGCTTTCCTCTTCGGAGTGTCCAGACTTAGAGCTCCCAGGCCCTCAGGTCCTGGAGAGTCACTGAGGGGCAGAGTGTCTGAATATTCATTTGGTGACATATTCCAGCGTGAGGGTGTGTCTGATCCAGCATCCCTCCTCTGAAGATGTGTGGGTGAGGTGACTACAGTTTTTAACCACTTGAATGTCAACTTCTTTCTGCTGCTGTCCATGTTGAAGATCCTAATCAAAAATACAATTTGAAAAGGAATAAACACACCTCATCAAGGTGAAAACATGAAAGCATCACTGTTAAAATACTAAAGTTGAAAATGCCATATTCAGTCAATATACTAGATGAAAAGGATATGTCTGTCCCATGACTAGTTTAGTTAGTAAATTGAGACCTAAACAACAGCCACAATAAGTAAATATATACTATTTACTGAAAAAAGTGCATCTTCTCGTAACTTCTCGTAATTCCTAAGTCTAGGTTTGCAACCAAGGGTGACCATTCATTTTCTTATTGTGTTATCCATTCACAATCGGTACAATTACTCCTGTATTTTCTTTTAACCGTCTCTTATGTCCTTTGTGAAATGAATTAACACGTGATTACCCCTGGGTCTATTAAATCCATTTAAATTGCTTTGAAAATACAGAAAATTTAAACAGTATGGTGCACTCCAACATATCACACCGCCAACACTTGGTATGTCCATCAATTTTAGGCGCTCAGAAGTGGGAAAGTACGACATTGAAAGTAAGACCTAGCTTTAACCTTACTGATTTGGTGTGCAGCAGTATTTTAGTAAATTAGTCTGACCTGGCCTCGGTTGAAAAGACACAGAAACTGCACAGACAATGGTAATGCATGAGGCCTTTAGCCTAGCATCCGCACTTTAACCAATTAACTGCTAACATTAGCTATTTACCCTTGTTTAAACTGCAGCTCATGAAGTAAATGTTCTAGCGAGCTACGACAAGACGGTTGATGGTTACTTTTATTAAGACTTTACACTTGTTTATCACACAAACTGTTCGCTAAATAAACTTCTACATTAATTTAACTAACTAATGTTGAGGTGTTTTTAAATTACCGTTTCCGGCTCGGCACCTTGGAAATGTGACTGAATGGAAGGTCAGGTTTCACTTTGTGGGATGATAAAGCCAATCTCTGCCCAGGAGATTCAACGTTTTCTTGTTACCAAAGTTTCTGAACAAAAACAGGGTATGAAAAAGTGTCTTTGGCATATTAAGATTAGATTGTATTGCAAAAAAAAAGACTTTAAATAAACCGCTAGATGGTGGTAAACGACCGTTTGACCGCAACCAAGCGACCAGATTAGGACACATCTCGCGATATCAATTATACCAACGAGGTTTTAGTTATGAGCGAAAACACCTGTCGCTTAGGTACATATAGGTACAGATAAAACGTAATTGCCATATCAGAAAGTGTAAATGCAGCAAACGTTAAACACAAAGAAAGTCCATTTCAAGCTCAGACGTTTGTTCAACCTACATTAAAATGTATGGTGGTTAGCTCACTGTAGCCACGGATGGATGAGTGATCAAGGCGACTAATCCACGTTCAAAAGGCAGCAGAGAATATAGGATTTTAAAACTGTGTTTAATGGTCAGCAGGGGGCACACCTTACGAGTAGGCTGCTATAAGTGATACAATACCAAAGGGGTGTATTTTTCCATTTCCCTGCTAGATACATATACAAATTAACCTGAAATAGTCGTCGTCATGTTATATGCCAAAAGCATAAGAAGCAAAAGAATGTAATAATAATGGGACACTTTATTGATCTCTGCAGGAAAACGTCCTCCAGCTCAAAGTGAAGGGTCACATGGTACACTGTATAGGCCTATAACAGCTCCCGTTGAGATGCTCATAAAGTTTATAAAGTTTTTTTTCTTTACTTCAGCATACAGTAGTTACACATGGCATTAAGCATATCATTGCAATGACTACATTTCTTGTGATTTACAAGTTTAGCTACTCCTTCAAACTGACAACATTTTCACTGAAACGCAAGTCCCTCTTCAGGTAGTGAAAACTGCATCTTGACAGCTTCTTAACTGTAAAGTGATAGAAGGTTCATTATAAATAATAACCTCAGAGTGAAATCATATACTTTTTAGTAACTTGAACAAATCTGTACAGAGGGTTGAAATAATGTTAGTAACTCTTTTTTTGTCAGACTTTTGGTAATCCCAGAGAGGTCTTGTAGGCACCAAAGCTGTATCCTTTACCTGTAAAGAAGGAATAAAGGAATAAATGCATCAGTCCTCTGGCCTTTAAATAAAACAGTCAGAATTAAAAGGAAGGGATGGCTGACCAGCAGAATCAGCAATGACAGATTTAGGGTATGGATCTCACTCTTCTCCACCACATGTGCTTGTGAATGTCACACCAAGCTGATACTTATTATAAGTGACAGTGTGAAGTGTTGTTGCAGTCAAAGCTTGGATCAGTACTCACATGTTGAGCCCTTCTTCTCCATGACCCAGTAACAGAAGCCCCTCCTGGCACGGTCATTAAACACATTTCTGTACTGAGGCATGTTTTGTGGTGAGGTTTTTGGTGCGTCATGATGGATGCCTAAAAAAGAACATATAATTGTGAAACAGCTAGGAAGCAAATAAGAAAAACAAAAATCATTAAACACTTGCTAATGTGGGACCTACTGTATCCTTGCACCATTGAGGGAATATGATCAATAACTGCAGTTCCATCCTGAGTGAGAGGAGGTAACAAGCTGCTGGTAGTATGGTTTTGAACACGTTCATGTGATTCATACCCTAGGGCATATAAGAAAACCAATTTGGGAGCAAATTTTCCTTGGTAACATACAGTATATTCAGAGTTCTGTCGTGATTGAACTGTACTCTCCTATTACCTCCCAGTTTTACATTATCTATTATGATAATTTGTACAAACCTGTGTCCTTCAACAAGGCAGCCTGAACTGATGCAAGATAACCTGGTGCCTAGTTGGGAATAATGTGCATAGTATCACAAGAATACAAAGTGGTTTGTGTTTTTGTTATTCATCAATCAAGAGTGACATTAGTCTGTATATGACTTTGTAAATAGAGAAGGGGCTTTTCTTTAGCTCATCTTACCATTGTTTTCATTTTGCTCCAGTGATCTGTCTGGAGATGTGGAAACATCACTGGGTGACTCCTTGGCCAAAATGTCATGCTGGTGAAGAAAATGTAAGGATCATGATTATTAGTCTCTGTATAGGCCACCATCACATCAGCCTCAACCCTGGATCCCAGCTGCAAAACAAATACTGAACGTGTGTGTGAGACAAAGAAAAAGCTCTTGACAGTGACAGAGGACTTACTGCTCTTGCCTGAAACGACTTGAGTCCCATGTTTTTTGCTTTTCTCCTGCCTGCATGTTCCTGATATTACCGCATCCGGTTCCCCTCGTCTCACATTCACAAAGATAGGTTGTGTTACTTTGTCGCTTAGCAACGTGTTTAGCAACAGGACCCCTGTGGCGAAAACCTGGAGCTGGTTATAATTTCAGATTCTGACACATCACTTGGAGTAGACATCCATATGTAGTCTGTCTGTGAGCTTGTACAGTCAGGCTTGTACAAGTGTTAATTATGTTAAGTTATTCAGCCTGTACAAAGATTGATATATTACAGAGAAGTTTTATGGCTATTTCTCCACAGTTACATACTTACAAATAATGATGTTGCTTTAAAACTGAAAAATGTGCTGCTTCATTGTATATTGTTGACATTAATCAGTTTACATGTGTATATATATATATATGTTTGTGTGTATAATTCCTAATATACACTCTCAATCATCCAACTGAGTCATGTCTTGTATTTAAAAGTATCTTGTGTTGTCAGCACAGGTGCTGTTGGGTTTCCTTATACTTAATATCCAGAGAGAGAGTAACTATATTTCTCACAAAGTAAATGGAAGTCAGTTTTTCAATGTATAACTACCCCTACCTCTGAGAAATTAGGTAACAATTTCATGATGTTTTTAGGTTCATTGTTTCATAGTTTACATTCACTTGCTGTACTTATGTCTGAGCAAATAAAAATCCTCTTCACAGCATGTTTCAACCAGTAAGAAATATATCTTTCATTTATTTTGTACACAAATAAACAATGAAAATCTTTGAGATATAGGTATGAATGAAGGTATGAATTTAAAACAAGGTCACAGAAGAACAAAAGAGGAAAAGAACAATGAAGTAGGCAAAAATAAAAGTAAATCTCCTCAGTCACAGTGTTTCACAGCCTAATCTTAAAAACCGTAAAGTCAATTTATAACTTTGTTCTACCCATGGCAAATTAGCAGCAAGACAAATCTTTAGAAGAGACCCTGCCCATTTGTAGTCGTTGGTATATTCTGACAAAAAGTCTGCATTTACCAGAATAGGCTAACTTGGAAAATGCACCTATAGTCACTCAACAGATTTCCAGATATAAAGTGCTAAAGCTGAAGAACAAAGATGATTGCTCAACAATTCAGTTTCTGCTGGGTTTAATAGCTAGTATAACAAAGCAAGATGTTTTTCATTAAACTGGCACTATCAGTCATTCTCCATAATAATATTAACAACATATATCTCCCTGGAACTCCAGTCGAATGTAACTATACACTTTAGTTTCCTCTATAAATTGTGATATTGTAAATTGGACAGAAATTCAACTACAACACTGATTCCATGACAAAAAATATTCTTATGAGTTCTGTCTCGTGCAACAGATCTAATGGGATTTTTTTGGGAGTTAATGTATGACTGTATTTTGCAGAATAAAGAAGAGCGTAACATAATTAAGTAAGTATTAAAGGCTAAAATTTCTCCATTTCCCAAGTGGCCTTTGAAGAATAAACATCAAAATCCTTAGATAACATTTTAGAGTGTAAACAGTACTTTTCCATAGAAGATACTGTCATCACATTATATAAAAACTCCACTTATTGAAAGGAAAAAGCTACATAATTTTTATCTACTTAGAAAGACATTTGCTAAAGCCAGTGAGGGAAAGTGATAAACAGGTAGCGGATCAAACCAAGTCTAATTTGCAGCAAATGTAAGATCTCTGGCGACGTCTGGTGCAACAGCCGCTGACACATCCAAGAATTACCTTGATACATTTTATCTTCTTTTTCAGTATGTCTTGTCTTTTTGATAGTGCGCAGTACAGTAATGCTGTCCAAAAGTGATCAACGTCCATGCAGTTTCATGTCATGTCATTCCTCCTGGCCTTGGATCCTCTCCAGCAGATGCTGCTCTACTCGCTGGTTCATGCGGTGCAGATCTTTCAGCACACTGGGCTGATCTTCCAGCTCCTCATGGAGACACCGTGCTATTTCCAACCTCCTGTAGTCTTCTGGTCGCACAAGACGTCGAATAACCTGAAGAGCACGATCCTTGAGGCTGTAAACTGTATGAACCAATCAAATGTTTACAATATGTTAAGCAAAGACCATTTTTCGAATATATTTCACTTCACTTTAAATCATTACAACAACAAATTGATACCAGTGTAAAGGAGACAAAGAGGACCTCAGTGGATTATGGTAAATCAAATTGTATGTGTTCTCATAGAGATGTGGCAGGCTTGTGTTTGGTTTCAATTGCCACAATGAACACAGCGTGAAAACCACAAGTTGCTTAAACATTCACACACCCTCAGTCAACATCCACACCGCACTCTTGACAGTAATTGGTCTGTATGGCACATGACTTGCCGTGTTCCTTTATGTGTTCATAAAGACCTAATTCAATAAGGGCTAATTATTTGAGGTACATCTGTGGATTATTTAAGGGATTTCTGGATCTTTTAATATATTTTTGTGAAATTTTGAGCACCACAAACCAAATGCCTTTCATCTGTTTAATTGCAGTGTGTCTTAGAACACTGCCAGATAAAACCAAATATACCTGTATGACCAGATAAAACTAAGGCCAAGTAGAAAATGCTATTACTATTTATGTAGTATATCCCTTTAAACCATCAGAGTGGAAACACAGTGCTGTAATCAATGGCAATATGAAAGCTGTTCAAAATGCATAAATATGACTTAGTCTGGGATTTGCTGCCAGTCTAAATGTGTTCAGAGGCAGGTTACAGTCTAATGGGCTTATTACACACTGCATCATAAATACACTTTGATTGATAATATTTTAGGTCATTTGGCTAATCATACCTGGTAAAGTGATATTAGCAAATGTAGCATTTCCACCCTCTGTTGGTTTAGGAAGAAACAGCTCTTTGCTGTTCACCTTAAGTGGCTCATCAGTCTCTGCATCCCTGAACATCCACGGGTGACCTGGGAAGAACATGCAAATAAAACACTTTTAAAAATAGTTGGTACTACACAACCTACTGGTGAAAATACTTCGTCGACAACAGACCCGCTATTTAGACAGCAAATCAAGACATCAATACTCGATGCTCAAATCTGAGACAAAGTAGCCAGCAAACAGTTGTTATATTGGAAGAGCTGCGTTACCGACGAATGTGTTCATTCTCCGTCCCGTGCCTGGCTGTATGTCATGGTACGGCTGAGGTTCCCCGCGGTAATCTATCCACAGTGGTCGCACCACTCGGGGAGTACGGTTACAGAAGACAGCATTGATTTGTATTTGGGTGTTCAGGGAGCGGACAAGGGGAAGAGACTGCTCTCCCTCTTGAGGCATCTGTAGCAAATTCACCTCCTAACTGTGGGCGCAACGAGATTAGCCGTTTAGCTAAAGTTAGCTAGCAGCTAGCTAACAAGATATCCATAAATGAAGCCCGTTGTCGAACCCGGAGATTGTCGAATTTCTGAGGCGTGTCACAAACTCAGTCCAGTTAGATTTTGTCGTTCATAAAACCGACGACTAGCAACTTCTTCATAACACTGCAGCGAGGAAACGGTCTCTTGTTACATCTTCTTCTCAACTATTTTGTTTACTTTTTCTTTTCCGGTAAGATAGTGAGACGTCAAACTCTTTTGTACTGTGATTGGTCGAGGGAGGCATGACGACATCTCTGTGTCACAGACGATACGTTTCATACGTGACTGTGGGAAGCAAGAAAGAAAATAAACACAACTTTATCTGAAAACAGAATTAATTACTTAACGTTATTAATCGTTAATCAATCATTTACCAATGCTTTACTGACCAGTAATGAATAAAAACAACTTTTTGGTTGCCAGGTTGTGGAGAATCCTAAACCAGCATCATGACACTTTATCAGTGCTTAAATTCATTCTTGACAGCAGTGTCTGTAGGTACCCACATTAAAGTACATTTCTATGGTATTTGTACTTAATTTAAGAATTTCCATTTTCTGCTACCTTGTTTTTACTCCATTAGGCCACATTTCAGAGACATACTGTACCTTTGCTCCAGTACATGAATGAATGTAAGCTCCACCCAGTTTTATCCTCACATAAAACACAGGGGCACAGCTGTAGAGACCTTCCTGAGCACGACCACCCTCAGCTCCAGAGATTATTCCCAACCTGAACCTGAACCTCAACAGCTTCAATTTACCCTCAATAATATTTGAACATAACTATTTATAAAGGTAGGTAGTAATTAAATGCCTTGGTATTTTGATAGGGCCCTTTTGGCAACAGAAACTTTTCCTCAGAATGAAAAGTGTCAGTAATATTGTAGTAACAGATCCGGTTCTTGCCAGGCATACAGTAAAATACAGAAGTTTTAAGAATAATTTGTATTTTGGAACAATGTCGAGTTTCTGTATTTTGAATTGGGTTAAATGTTTATTTTTTAAAATTCCCTGACTGTCTGTTTTTCAGTCAGTTGGCAGGTCTGAACTCTTTCACAATCCAAGCACTATGCGTCCTTTGAATGGCAGTGGCTTTGTGGATGCGGAAGACTTGGAGAGAGATGAGAGTCTGGCCAAAGCGGAGATCGCGCTGCTCAGTGTCATCTTCGTCAGCGCCTCCATCCTCAACACCGCCGTGCTGCTCGTCCTCTGGAGACAGCGCAAACAGATGTCCAGGATGCGCGTCTTCGTGTTTCACTTGTGCCTGGCGGACCTGGTGGTCGCTTTCTTCCAGGTGTGCCCGCAGCTCATGTGGGAGATCACAGACAGATTTGTCGGGCCAGACCTGGTGTGCCGCCTGGTGAAGTACCTGCAGGTTCTGGGCATGTTCTCGTCGACTTACATGATCGTGGTGATGACGGTTGACCGATACCAAGCTGTCTGCAACCCAATGGTGAAGTTCCAGCGGGCACGCACGAGACTGAACATCCCTGTATGCGTCGCCTGGGGGATTTCTCTGCTGGGCAGCCTGCCACAGGTTTTCATTTTCTCACAGGTCGAGGTTGCACCCGGTGTGTTTGACTGCTGGGCTAAATTTATCCAGCCATGGGGGCTGCAGACTTACATATCCTGGACCACGCTGGTCATATTCGTTTTACCTGTTATTACAGTTGTTGTTTGCCAAGTGCGCATCTGCCGGACCATTCAGATCAACCTGTACCAAAAGACCCAACAACGGGGCAGCGAGGGTCTCCCGCTGCCATCCAGAGCCAGCGGTGTGGCCGGCATGTCCAAAGCCAGGGTCAAGACGCTGAAGATGACTGTGGTTATCGTGTTGGCTTATATTGTCTGCTGGGCTCCCTTCTTCACTGTGCAGCTTTGGTCCGCCTGGGACACACACGCGCCAAAAGAAAGTAAGTTATTACGAATTTCTGACTTGTCCTCTGTTTGATTTGGATTATTTTCTCCTTTAATGTGTATTTTAATTTGGTTTTCTTTCTAAATACATGTTCACTAATTATAAAGGCTAAAGTTGGAGTCTCGCTGTCCGAGAAGTGCGTAATTACGCGCAAAACCCATAACATCTTAACACATATAATGACACTTCTTTGCAACACTGTGACGCTTTGCTCTTCTCCTGTCCTTCCAGCTGTGACTTTCACCATCCTGATGTTGCTGGCCAGTCTGAACAGCTGCGCGAACCCCTGCATTTATCTTCTGTTCAGCGGTCAGTTTCCCAAAAGGCTGCTGACACTCCTTTGCCCACGGCAGTCCAACGGAAAAGATTCAATGCATGAGGAGGCGACGCTGGTCAGCACGTTGTACATGAGCTTTAAAAACGTCTCTGAGTCCAAATGAGGGCGCTGGAAAGGGGGAAAACCTGTATATGGAAAAGCGTGCGAAGTCGGTGCGTGTTACGGAGCTGCCTCTGAGCTTTCTTTCTGCACTTGGACAGAAGATGTGAGGACTGGACATACTGCGTCTCTCTGGGTCTCTGACATATAAAATATGGTTTGTCATTGAAGCAGTCCTCCATGAGTGAGACCAGCGCTCCAGATGTTGCTGGATGTTGACGGATGACAAAAGCAAGTGGTGTTTTGTTGGACTATTAGGGGCAACACAAGTAATCACTGTAGGCTTTGTAAATCGTTGGTTTGGTTCGTGTAATCACTTTGTTATGACTGTGACAGTTTGTGATACAAAAATATTCTTCACATTTAATAGAAGCTGGGTGTGGAAATCAGAAACACGTTTGCATTTTCAGACAGATTCAGTGACTGAATTTCAGATAAAGCGGTTCAGGAGCTTAACTATTATTTATGTTATTTTGTGTTTTGGCAAAACTGGCATCTTGCATGAGTGGAATTGGGGTAAATGCCAGTAACTATACAACAGTTCATTAAATTATACCACAGTCCTTTGAGCTGAACTCAAAGACCTAAATGTATAAGATACTGTATCTATAGCTTTATTTTCCAAAAAGAAAGTAAGCACAACTGTGTTTTCATGAATACAGAATAGATACAAACACATTGTTTAAAGCTGATGCAACACGTGCCTGCCTCAAAAAAATGTAACATGTCTTTATTTAAAAATTGTGAGATACATTCATCACTTCTATAAACACTCTCTCCCTCTCAGAATCAAACAGTCACAGGAGTGACTCTATTTGTAAAATATTGTTTATCCTATAAATGTGGAATAAAGTCATATTCTCACAACTGCTCTGTCTTTTTACACATTTACATAAATGTTATACACAATGTGTATTTTTGAAAATCCAAAAATGACAAATTAAGAGCATAGTTATGAAAATAATATTCAAAGAAGACAATTTACCATAAGGTTGTTTACAATGAGCCACCTGAGGTTAACTTGTGGTAATTCTCACTGAAACAAGGACCACACTGTCTACACTGTGAATGTATCTTTCCAGTATATATATATATATATATATGTATATCACAGTATGTAATGAACCGATATTAGCCAGATTCAAACCTGGTGTATATCACATATGGTATTTGCGGTAACTGCAGGGCGACACTTAGTCTGAGCATGAAGGATTTTCACATCGAAGGAGCAGCATACCAAAGACTGACACAGCCTGAAAAATGTTACACAAGCACACAGCACATATACAGGGAACATGGCCTTTTTATTTTCAGCTCCACCCAGGTGAGTACAAGTGAGGATAAAAATGCTTTTATCAATGTAAAAACAATTGTGATCAGGGCTTTAGGTCAAACCTGAAAATTAGTCAATGGCCATCATTTTCTTTCAGCCGTTATTTTGTCCAATTAGGAAACTAATGCTGTGTCATTAGATCAGACTGGAGGCAGGTCATTAGTATCTGTTGCCTTTGTGATAGTGTGAATATGTCCCACAGTGGCAGCGAACAGATCAGTCTGCAACAAGCTTATGGAATGATTTTGTTAGTGTCACTGGAGCAGCTTCAGTTTCATCCAAGAAAGTTAATGTGGCTCATTACTTTGACCTTCGTGACCAGCAGTTATATAATCTCCTTACTGTGTGTAGTGCTATTGTTATTTTTGTCACTGCTGTTGTTATGTTTCACCTGTTTTAGGTGCCACTTAGGATTTGTTTCATAAAGGAATGTTTCAACATCTTTATGATTATTAATAATCAAAATGTCAAAATAATCTGCAGCATATTACAACATGTTGTGCAGATGTAGCTTTTAGCTTCCTCCTGGTGAGGAATCCTTCTGATACCCTCTCCACATGCAAGTCAGCGCTCGACTGGTTTTAGTACTGGAGAGGCAAAAACATTGTTGAGCAGTCCAGAGGTTTGTCATTATAAGGGCTTGAACCGAGATTGTGTTGCTGGAGAGCAGTCTACCCACAAACTACATTACTCTGCCAACATCAGTCTAATCTGTCTCCAGTTGCAGGGACACTGAACAGGAGAGGAACTGCTGTCCTCTTGTAAATCAAATAAAGTCAAGCATTTCAGTGTTCCACTCCAGCGAAGTCAGGCACTTGTAAGGAAAACTTGAACACCCACTGAGAACATGGATGGGTTATGAGAAAAATGAGCCCCTAGGCACAGACAGGCAAGAGACCCCAGAGTCCTCCTACAGAGAACCCCCAGACTGGTGAGGTTTTTGTCGTCCTTTTGTGTTTCTTTGTTGTTGTTTTGTGTCTTTCAATTGAGCTCTGTGACTTTCAAACACACCTGTTTGGTAATCCATCCATGTTTGAGAGTTACTCCAGTCTCGATGATTTTGGTGGTTTGACATGGTTGAGGAAAACTTGCTGGATATGATTCACACAGGTCTGCACACAGGTAGTATGTGAGGTTTTGAAACTGTCCCTCTCTACAGTTCATAAGCATGTTCTGCATATATACTGTATAAGTAGCACTGTGCAAATGTTTTAGTCACTTTAGATGAATGTAACATTTGTCTTATTTCGACTAAACTTTTTAGCTGTTTCTGGGTATCTGGGGAAATAATGACACTGCCATGTCTAGTGGGGCCCTAACAATGGGGCCCCTTGACCAGAATGTTAATCCGGCCATGCACTGACTGACAGGAGCTGCATCACTCTGTTGTTTCCCACATTTTGTTTTGATCTGTATGGTGTTGACTTTGCACAAAAAAAAGGTGAGAGCCTGGCAGTTTTGAAACCTAGTTTCAGAAGATAAAAGTTGAACATGGCCTCTTGCCAGCTCAAAAATAACACTCCATTTACAGCCATGAACAAACACACATTCCAGCATCCACTCACCATCTCCAGCGCTGTCTTCTTCTTCATCCTCCTCTTCATTATCTGATGAAAGTCACGATGAAAGGTCCTACTTCTGCCGTGCTCGTCCTGCTCCTTTTTGTCTGCAGGGGCAAGGAGAAGATGCTGAAGAGGTGAGACAGTTTCCTTACATCATGGCAAAAGTGAGCATAGCAACATGACACAAGTTGGTCAGCCACCATCAGCGAGGTCTCTCACAGGTAGAAATCTCGCAGCAGAAAGGTGTTTCCAGATGTGACATTCAAGCTGTTCTCCAGAATCACAAAGAGACAGGAAAGGTTGAGCGGATGAGAGACACATCAAGCTGACTTCTACAAGGATAAGAGTCTGTAGGCAACAGTGATGCACATGTGGAGGTTCCTTTGGGGCTGTATTTCTGTGAATGGAGGTGGGGGTCTAGTCAGAATTAGTGGCCTCCTCAATGCTGAGGAGAACAGGTAGCTTCTTATCCATCACACAATACCATCAGGGAGACGTATGATCCAAACACACAGCCAGAGTGATAGAGAGCTATCCTCAAAGACAAGAAGAACAAGGAGTCCTGCAACAGATGGTCTGGCCCTCACAGAGTCCTGATCTCAACATCATGGAGTCAGTCTGGGATACATGAGGAGACAGAAGACACTGAGACAGCACCATCCTAAGTTTGTGAATAGATGTCTCTGCCATGTTCACTGCTCACTTTTCAAATTATTTTTTAAAAGAAACTTTGACGAAAACCTTTCCCCTTACTTTATTTTTTTTGTTTTTGTTAAAAGTCAGATTAAAGTAATATTAAAGTTGAAAGTGACAAGTTTGTGTCTTTGTTGAGCTGCTTGCTGAACTGCTTACTGAGAGGTTTGTGTTGTCCACTGCCACCGTTTACTGTTGTCTTGACCACACAGAGAGAGACACCGACTAGACCATAAACAGCTGATTGTGCTTTTTCACATTATTATCATCCTCATCAGACCCATGTGGTCACAATCAACTGCACATTCAACTAATTATATGTCAAACAAGCAGGAAATGTGACTGGATACACGTTTCATAATCAACATATATATGTATACATAATGAACAGATCCCAGTGTTTCCTTCATTAATATAAACAGACTTCTAATCCCTATTTCAAATTACTGCTCTGGATTGAGTCACGTTGTAAAGATTATTGGCCTTTTCCCCTTGTGGATCCCTTTTCTTTTTTACATGGGATGCTACCATTACCTGATTTCCCCACAGACATCAGTAATGTTTCATCTGATCTTTAAATAGCTGCTTTAAATAGCTAGGTTCAATCAGATTAATGAAATAATACAATTCAGCCTTGTGTCCAATTACTTGTAACCCCACACTCATAAAAAACACAAAGCTGAATAATGTTGTGTGGAGAAGAGAGCAGACAAGTCGACTATGTAAAGGATATTTCTCTAACTATTTTATCTCATTCCAGACATAAAACAGCATGTATTACTCAAGTTTGCTTCGCTGTATTAGACACACAGACATCTTTAGTTGGGATTAAATTGACAAGAACATTACATAAGCCCAAATAATTGTATCAGCCTGGCTTCAGACATTTTCTACAACATGCTCACTGGCTGTAATTGAAAATAATGATGCCTAATATGTGCTTGCATCACTTAAACACACGCACATGTTCACTTGGACCAGTACACATAAGTGAATACAGTGACAAACATGTGCTTGTTAGAGCACACGTCATCTTTATCAGCAGATGGAGTTTGCTCAGTTATCACTAAGCTGAGTCAGAGCACTTTTTGGATGTCTCCACCGAGCAGGGGGACATATTAAGCAGGTCATATTAAACTTGCTGTGTGATATGACCCAGAGCTAAAAGTGCTCAGAGAAACAGAGAGGTCGGTCATCTAAACTGCTCCATGACCGCTGAGGGAACTCTATCTGCTCGTGAAGACTATGAGATACAGTTGAGGGCTCCACAACAGGTGAGGAAGCGGATCTTGAATGTCGTTTTTGTTTTTGTTTTGCAAGGACAAGAAGGAACAGTTAAAGGGGAACTGCAACAATTTTCCACATCAAAGTTTGATTCTTGGGGAGTACCACTGCATATGTGAAAAGAAGTAGTGTAAAGCCTCCAGTGTCTCCAGAGCTACATTGGAGGCTACGTTTGCTACTACTTTAATATCGCATCTGAATCTCTGAACAAACTGTCAGAGCTTGAGTTGCATTATGGGTAATGTAGGCACCATGTTATCACAAAGTAGAAAAACGTGTCTGCTGCAGATATCTCTGCCTACCTCTGCGTCCAACAACCCCCCCCCCCCCCCCCCCCCCCCCCCCCCTTTGTTTTTTTTAACAGTCAATGTTACAGAAATGCAATGTTAAATCTGTGGAGTGGGCCCACTATTTTAAACCCAACACATACTGTATGTTGTTCTAGTTCTCCTGGCTTTTGTTGTTTACGCCTCTAGAGCCATGACAGAAAAAAGTGTCACAAGTGTCACACTGGCCTAAGCAAGGAATAAAAATAAGCAAGCAGCTGTGCTATTGGTTAACACATAATTGATCCTAAAATGTAAAATTACTATAGTTAGACCTGAGAAGACCAACATCAAAGAAGATCAAAAGTAGATCTTGAACAATTAGTCTGTTCATTTAAATCATCATTAAAATTATAGTTTGAGTAGGCTGTACAAGGTGCAGACACGTACCTGTCAAAAGCGGACGCTGAAGGAGAAGAGCAATGGCAGTGACACTGTTCGGGAAATTTACTCCAGGGAAAAAATGATGGATCTGCTGAGAGTTAAAAGAAATGTTTTTGACCGGAAAATTGGAAAAGTGGGTAATTTGCATGAAACTTGATGCCAAACAAGTCACAGTTTAACCGTGGAATACCTGGAAAAGGGCTCTCTAATAGTTCAAGGTAAAGCACTAATTTAACAGCAAAAACACATACAAACTGTTTCATAAAGCAAGAAACTTTACTCGAGAGAAACAGATACAAAGACCGCTGAAGCCACAAAACAAGTCAAGATTATTATTGAGATATGAGAAATCACGTGTTGCACGTCTCAGACCTTATCTAACTCTTTACTATAAATCCTCTTCTTTGAGGGACCCTCACGTTCAAGTCATCAGTGAAGCACAGTGGTCGACATGTCTCCTCTCCCACTCACAGAGTCTGATTAGACTCTCACTGTGCGAGCATACAAATGATCCTCCATCAACGTGTACCTGCACGAGAGATTAATACACTGCAAGCACATCGTATGCAAACACATGGAAGCACACAAGCACACTGAAGGCACATGTTGATTTGTCTGTAGATGTGAAGATTTACAAATTGCGAAAAGACATCACAGATCCGTTTACCTGCTTGTTAAAGCTCAATTCATCACCTGGACAAGGGCTCTGACTTTACACACACACACATACACACACACACACACACATATTGCACTCCCTGCTCTGAGTGCCCTGCTGAAATATATTGAACATCTCTGGTGACAAACACATGAGATCAGAGGAGGGTCACAGGATAACTGCATGTTTATTTTACTCTGTGGTACAATGAGGGTCATGGAAAAACAAGCAAAGGCCTTCTTTGGAACCGGCCCACTGATTTTCCTCAGTGAAGCGTCTATTTTATTGTTGGGGATGAATGAAAGTCTGACAGCCTGGCTAACACTGGCTCAGTGATATGACAGAGAATATAATTAACAGAGGCATTACACAAGATTTTAGATTTTACAAGTTATTCTTATGGCGAAAACCTCTCCTTTATGAAACAAAATGGTGTGATGATATGACAGTGAAGTGAAAGTGATTTAAAGAAAAGAGAGAACGATATCTGTTCCGAGGAAGCTCACAGTCTGATTTCTGAGGTTCTACCACGAGAACATGTAGATCAGTGAAAAGATTAAATCTAAACAAAATGCTTGAGATGACAAAGTGAATTATATTCTTATTGAGCGTCTATTGAGTGCAACTCAAAAAACTGTAGACCTACTGTATGTGACACTGAGCTTAAGCCGTAACAACAACACATGAGATATTCTAAATGGGTTCTCTTTAAAAGGAATAGGTTGACATTTTTGGAAATATACTTTGATGCAGAGAGTTAGATGAGATGTCTGTTGCAGCCAGCAGACAGTTTCATATTCATCCTAAAAGTATGAGTGGGACCAATCTTCTCATCAGCTCTCCCAAACAGCCTTAAATTTACCAAAATGTCAAACTTTTCCTTTAAGAAAATATCCAGACACATTTCATTAGACAGAACATCTTCAGATTCAAGACGTTTTCTTATTGCGTTCAATTACTCTGCTCATTGATGACAAGATTTTTGTCCAATAATTCTCTGTGTCATGATGAGATATAAGAAATAAGAGTCAGATTCTACCAACAGTAGAACACCAGTTATATTACGCAACAAATGCTATAATTGCCTCTTATTTACAGTTACATTTATACAAACGTGAGCCAGCACCTTGCAACAAAATCGCAAGAAGTAGAATCCTGAAAACTTTGAGACTACAAGCCAAAGAGAATCCTAAAAAACGAAATCCTAAAAAAATGAATTCAAAGCCTCATCACCACTTTGCCATTCACAATCTTTCATTCACGTCTGCGCTTCACTGCTTCCTCAAACTTGTCAGAAGACACAGAGCTGGAGTGTATAGGCACACCATTTTAAAACGCCACACAGTGTGAACAAACCAAACGACAAAGGGTAAACTTCTCTTCTCACTCTCTCACCGTTTTCATTAGCTTTGACCTTTAAAACAAGCAGTCTGCCATGAGGCACCAAGACATCTCAAATTTTCACTTCACAGAGATAACACTTGTTTCCTAAAGGACATCATCTAAGAAGACAATGAGCTTTAGTTGAATACAAAACAGACACGCCTATATCAAGTATAGTACACATTATCATTATTTTCACCTCAGTTTTTTTTTATTAAACAAAAACTGATGTGATAATAAAAAAAAAAACCCACTATTTCTCCACACTTGAATGAGTATGTTGAATTAATCCTCAATCTTCTTGCATACAAAAATACATCCAATTAAATTCCAAGATTCAAAATATCTCCCATCACGACAGATCGACACATACTACATGAGTGCAACTCTCATTCAAACAGCTTCCTCCACTGACCTACGGCAGCTGAAGATACAGAAAACATATCTGATAAACCGCACACACGATCTGAATGCTAAGTGAATTCACTGTATGTTTTTACAACAAATTAAAGTAGGGTAACGGAGCCTACTTGTCGATGATATGTCTATCTCAACTACATGCAGTCACACTCTGCATTATATGGAGAAAAGGAGTTGAGGGGAAATTATACATCAAGCATAGCGTTTGTGTGTGTTTGTGTGTGAGTGTCTGCAGCTACCAAGAAAACAGCTGGACAGGGGAGCTGCATGCTAGGATGTTACCACGTGTCATGGAATCAATCTGTTATTCTTCATTTCTTTCTCACTTTATCACAACGCACAGAGTCGTCTCACCACTGCCTCCACAATTAAGGAACCTTTAAGAACAATCACTGCCTCCATCCTGTTCTAATTTACTCATAGAGTGCGATTTAGAGGCCGCATGACCTTTTCACTAATATGATGGATTTGCTGCCAGGGGTGACAGGTAGGGTGTGATGCATTGATTACTAAAAGTAATCATGGCCAGGGAGTGGCTGAAGATCCAGGCTTTGGGGGGGGGGGGGGTTCGCGGGTTGATGGTCGGACATCACAGGCAGAAGAGGCGAGAGCCCTCCCTCCCCTCCTCCCCCTCACCCTGGGGAATGCGGGGGAGCATCGCTGAACGGGTCAGACCCCAGAAACGAGGTGGAGACAAGTCCTTCTTGGTGGCAGTGAACTTCCAACCCATGTGAGACCCACAGGTTCGGCACTGAGCGATTGTCCACGCGTACCTGAGAGCAAAGGAAGAGGACAACATTTTTCGCAATCTCATCCCGACATGTTTTAATAAATATAAAATCAAATTAAATGAATTCACTTGGAATAATCACTTGTGATTGATATTTTTTTTTTCCACAAAAATCTTTGTTCATAAAAATCTTAAAATTACATCTGCCTTTTCTCTCTCATTAAAAACGTATAAATATGCAAATATTTTTCTGTACTATATGTATTTTCTTCACTGTTGGACACAATATGTCACTTATTTCACACAAAAAAAATCAATTCTCAGTTTATGAGCAAAGTTTCAACATCCACTTTCACAGTGGAACACAAGTGGCTTTCAAACTAGCTTTGGTGTCACTAAATCATGCTCTATGCACGCAGATTTAAAGTGAGAAACTTTCCCTCTTCTGCAAATGCAACTGAAAACAGCCTTCTACTGTCTCTCTCTCTCTCTCTCTCTCTCTCTCTCTCTCTCTCTATATATATATATATATACATACACTCAATGCACTCTTTGCACTAGTATTTTATAAATGCAATAAGCCACTGAGAGTGTTCCATCATTTCACAGCCTCTGATAACTTACTAATGACATGAAGATGTAAAAGTCTGAACCAAACATTCTCAAGGTGCTTGATCTACATGTTGATCCACACAGGTCAGTTTAATTCACATTTATTCTCTAATTATAAACTAAATATCTAACAAATTTATCAGAATCCTCTCAGGTTTCTTGAATCTTCCACTAGTGAGGGAAACTAATCTTTACACAGTCACAACTGCCTTATATAACAAGAAACTGGTACCATTTTTTTAGATGAGCAGTTTAATTTGATCCAGAGCGCAGGGAGGTCTCTGTCCCCTGCTGCTCTCTACAGAAACCCGGTGTTGTACATTGACCCCAGACCACTAACAAGCAGGCCAGAGATGACCCATTGATGAAAAAAAATTGTTTATGACAAAATACAGTAAGGCCAAAGGCTTTTCATTTCCGGACAGTGTCACAATGGATTACAGATTACAGCTAACCAAATACGCTATTAAAGCATCTTTATGTCCTTTGGTGCAATGTGTCAGAGGTATAGCTCTCATTTAAAAAGATGTATTTATAAAAGCACTGAAAAGCACAGAGACGGGTCTAAGTCAATATATTTACTTTGTGTGTTATGTGTTGTATTGTTCATTAGTCTGAGGTGGGAAATGTGAGCTAAATGCCATGAGTATTGCAGCGTTACCCTGGAAACCAGCTATGCAGTGTGGATGGCCTGCCGACCAGGTTGAGGTTGTTGGCTTTGTAGACAGTCAGGGTTTCATGGACGTAACCGTGAGGGTTGACGTACGCAGCCATGGGGCCGTACAGAGACAAGCTGCGGAGGGAGAAAAGGCAGGTGGAGAATGTCATCAGCAGCGATTACGACATTATTAAACAGTGTGGCCAAAAACAAAACGCCAGAATGATCCTGTGGGACAGACTGAATGGAGACTCCATAAAAGGTAGAACGGCAGCAAAACCGCCTTAAAATGCCTAAAATGTAAATTCAACTTCTACAGCCACTCTGAACCCACCGCTGAGTTCATCATAACAAACTGTTATAACTAAAAATGTTGTAACATGGCATTCATGGCCACTCTGAAGACGAAGAAATATCTGATGTTAGCACACAGCCTGGGAATGTTTTTTTTTAAAATTTAAAGCGCTTAAATCGATATTTTTATATTAACAATGACCAAATGACTTGTTACAGGTGTCGCTGATAAACCCACGGAAAACAATCACTCTACAGTTCCTTCAGCTCCTTATTTTGGCTTTACATCACCTTTTCTGTTTTGTTTCACTCTCACTGCTCATCAGCACCGTTGTCAAGTTTTCATGAACCCACTGTACATTATCTTCTCAGCACCAACAGCAAATAAACAAACTGAATACTGTGGAGCATTTTGCAGCTAAAGCACAAGATGTTTCTTTAAGGAGTTAGTGGCTCAAAGGGGGAAAAATCATGTGTAAATAGGCACCTGTTTGTTAAGATATTTTCCACATTAACTTAATACCATCCAAGTAAACTTTAAAACAAGTCTGACACATCAATGCATACTTTTCATCAACTTAGAAGAACAAGTCTAGTCTTCAATGAGTGTTGTAATTATGGGAATAAAACAACTACAAGGGTGGAAATTTTAGATTTCACTTCTTTAAAATAATGATCTAACCCGACAGGTCCTTGCAGACAACACAACCACACATAAGAAAAACATAACTTCAAAATATACCGTTTTGAATATACAGGTGGACTCTGGTCAAGGTGTAGAAACATTTCAAAGATGATCAAGATAAATGAGAGGCAACTGAGCTAAGTTTCAAGTGTCATAGCAAATGGTCTGAATACTCATGTTAATGTGAGATTTCAGTTTTTACTTTTAAATAAATTTGCAAAAAAAAATGTCTAAAATTGTGTTTTTGCTTGGTCTTTTTTTGTCATTATTGAGTGTAGATTAATAAGACAAAAAAATGAATTTAAAAGATTTTGGCTAAATGTGTAAAAAGTGAAGGAGTCTAAATACTTTCTGAATCTGCACCAGAAACTTTATTCTGAGTCATCTTCTCAAGTCGTAATTTACCGTATTCCAGCTGTCATTTCAGTCCAAAATTGAAAATGCATTAGCTACATACGGAGTTTATTAGTCAGAGAATGAATGTCCCTCTTAGAAATCATATTAAACACATAATCACTCATTCACTTACATTATCTGGATTTCAGACAAAACAGTTAATGCACTTTTCACATAAAATACTCAACAGTGAAGATCAGGCCAATTTCATGGGTGTTAGGGTTTTTTTGTGTCACTCATGGACAAACACGTTAACCACCACACATCACAGATAGTTAGAAAATTACATTACATAACAGTGTGTGAGTGTGTGAGTCTAGAACCACTTATCTTCATGATGTAACCCCAAACTTGATGCAATTTCCAGACTAAATCTGCATCGATTTTGACATGTTAATAATTAGAGTGATTACAGTGATGAAGGCAAACACAGAAATACAAAAACGCGATCATAAATGGGTAGCAGTTTGTTCCTCGGTTAGAGTTAACCAACCTCAGACTGTTTAAATTTGTTGGTTTTTTTTTTACATTACTCCAACTGCTGCAGGAACAGTTTTTTTCCTAAAAATAAAAAAATAAATAAACTAAAAAGGTAAAATGCAGCCTAAAATTTAACATATGTCCTTCAGTAAAATAAAAAAAGGTGCCTCTTCATTGCATTAACATTAAAATTAGGACTAACAAATACTTCATAGATAAACTGTTGTGAATGAGTCTAAAAAAGCTACATGAAGTTATTTTCGATATCACTAAATCAAATGACTCCCTGTGTGAATTGAAAGGCTGCTCGTGCTGCTCTTAGACCTTTTCAGCTCTTTGTTTTGGTCGCCTGCCATATGGGGGAAGAAAGTGCAACATATAGTGCACAATAAGTGTAATATTCCTAGTAATAAATTACTTATTTCAAACAAATGTCAATTCTCTTGATGTTTACACTGACACTGTGCTGAGAAGCACTTATATCAACTGAGCTGCAGCATGCAAAAGTAGTGAAGTGGGTGGCCTTTAAACACAAAGGCAAAAAACACATTAACATGACTTAAAAAAAGACAAAGGAAAACAATTCCTCACCTGAATATCTCATTTTTTGTGGTGATTTCAGTGTCCTGGCACTGCTTACAGCAGAGTGACGTGCACTGAGGAGGAGACAGAATGAAGTGTTACCAGGATATACAGTACGCATGTTCCTTTCTTTATGGTTGCACAAAAGCCACTAGCTGAATGACATGAGTTCAGGTCTTCGGTGTGCCCAGTGAGACTCTCCATTAAGGAGGATTATTAGCCTCAATCCGACGCAAGGCAAAAAAACAGATGATGGGAAGACACATTTAAGGAGCAATTTACAAATCCATTGACAGCTTTACAGCTTCTGGCAAGCACTTCATGGGCTTGTGTATGTCTCTGTGTGTTTATTTTCAGCTTAATGTCTGTGATAAGGTAAGAGCGACTCTGGCCTTCCTCACCCGGAAATATCTGTAACTTCTGGCAGTATAAAATTCAAACTGAAATCTTACTCAATGCGTATTTACATAATTTCTTTGAATTGCTTCCAAAAGGTCTGTTTTCCCTGAGGTAAATGCAATATTTGTGCCAGCTCCAGACTTTAAGATATTTTCATCCAGCACAAATATCTACAAAGTGTGAGAACACAGAACAGAATCTGTTCGACAGCCTCTTGAGAGCAGAAGGAATAAAATGTGTTGTTCATCAGAGGGAGGGACTGTCTTAAAAAAAACTGCTGAAGAGAGAAACCTATTATATTTTCAATTTGATAACTTGTTATATCTGTGTTTAAAAGGAAATAAATAGATTATTAACCCTTCTTATAAACAATATTCTTAGTTGTACCTATTCAGGGGCTGCATCATCTTGAGAGATATGGTCATTATTTTTGTGATATTAATATTTTGATATCATTGTGACAGCCGTGTTCTCTGTATCTTTTGGTTATTTCACTCTAGTTTATGTCCGATGTATTGTCTATTTAGTCCAGGTCTGTTTTTACTATTTCCACCCTGATGAAGACCCTGTGAGGTCGTGCCTGGTCAGCATTTTAACCAATATGTCCGACTAAACTTCTTTCCAGCCTAAGAGTCCCTGGAGAATGTTTTCTTCTTTGCTGTAAATTTTTTACCTATTGATGGTGCAAGAGGAAAGTTAAACCAAAGTTACAATTCATCATGATACTGACATAAACGTCTGTGCCAAATGTAATGGCAATCCATTTAGTAGTTAAGATATTTCAGTCTGGACCAAAGTGATGGAACGACGACCGAGTGTCTCATCCCAGGTCTCAGAGCTACGATGCTATCATGGCTAAAAACAACATGTGTCTGCCCTGACACACAGGACTGAGTTAAACCAGGAGGACAGAGGCCAGACTACTTTGTGTCCCAGCAACAACGCATCTGTCAGCTCCTGTCAGGCATGGTTAAATACACCAAAGAACATCAGAGCCAAAAACAGACTCACTCCACTCAGTACAACACCGGATCTTATCACACAAATCACGCCACGAGGGAAATGGTAGCTGAGGCTGCAGAGACAAAGGAGACTGAAAGGCTGGTGTGATGGAGCAGGGAGGCGGGGTTAGTAGTGACCTTGCCTTACCCGGTCCATGATGTCCAGTTCACAGCGAAGTCTCTGGATGGCACTGCCGATCTTCAGCAGCTGGAGCCGCAGAGCGTCGTCTATGGGCAGGCAGGCCGCCACTCTGTAGGAGAAGTCTGACAGAAACCAGACAGAAGACAAAGAAGGGGGGGATGAAAGGAAGGAAGGAAAGAAAGCACAAAGAACACAAACAAAGAGACGAACATGTTCGTGCGTGTATGTGTCTGTGATCCATCTGTAAAAAAACTGAACACAGGCTGACCTACGACGTTCGTGGGGAGAGAGTCATCCTTCAGATTCTCGTCCCATTCGTGGAGCTGTTTCTTCACTCTGTTCATGAGCGACTCCTGCGAGGTGAAACACAGGAAGAAGAGACAACGTGGTTTACATTCACAACGGTGTTGTGTTTATGTATGGAGGAAATTCCAAGCAGTGCACACGGGCTGCAGTACTCACAGAGTCGTAGAGTGCGTAGACCCAGGGTGGCCATGGTGTCAGACTGGCACAGTGAAACTTCCTCTGTGATGAACAACAGTCAGACCGTTAGTGAATTCAATCTGTGTGTGATCATTAGCACCCCAACATCCATTCAGTTTGTCTTCCCTTCCCTCACTTTCTCACTTCGCCATTACTGACATACAGACCACAACATGGTCAAAAGTATGTGGACACCCAAACATTATATGTCAAAGCCCCTGTGCAACAAGTCACATGTTGAAATAGGAGAGGGTCTTTTCCCTGTCGCCAAAACGTTGGAAGCACACTGCTGTCTAAATGTTACTTTATGCTGTAGTATTAAGACTTCTATCAATTATAACTGACTTTTTGAAGATATTTTTTGCTAATTTTGGCAAATTACTCCTGTAATTTCTGTTTTGTTTGTTAAAATAATCTTTTTTAAAAGTTACTTCTAAATCTTTACAATTTGTTAAGTCCTACATACTGTATTCATACTGTTTTAACCTTCTGTGTATGTTTTTGTCTAAAATCTGTGTATATTTTTTTATTAGCGTTTCCGTGATTACTGACAGCTAGTCTGATAATCAATCAGTTGTTTTTAGTATGTGTACAGCAGCAATAAATATGTGTAAATATGAGTTTGTTCTTAATTACATAGTCAAATTTGAAATATTAAGAAAAATTCCCAAGTATATTCAAAGAAATTTTGCATGTACAAACACTTAAACATCTGCTTGGACTGAGGCATCGAGTGGCGCAGTGGTCTAAGCAGGCGCCCCATACGTAGAGGCTACAGTCCTCGCTGCAGCAGGCCCCAGTTCAATTCCTGCATCAGACGGCCTTTTACTGCATGTCATTCCCCCTCTCTCTGCCTCCCCATTTCCTGTCTCTCTCTACTATCCTGTCCAATAAAGGCACAAAAAAGCCCAAAAAATATACTTAAAAAAAACAAAATAACATCTGCTTGGACTAGAAGGGACGTTATCCGCGATGTTCTGGTATTTTATTGACCAAACAACTAATTGAGAAGATAATCAGTAGATTAATTAATAATGGAAATAATTGTTGAAGCCTTATTCTTTACTCTGTGTGGAGGGTTAACTTTCTCTAAGTCTGATTCTGAAGTGTGCAGTATCAAAAAATGTCGCTTGCTACCGCTGTGGTAGCAAGTGTTTGTGTGTCTGACCTGCTGGTAGTTATTCCACCAGCACTGGGCTTGTTTGCAGCTCTGAGTCGGGGGCTTGGAGGAGGGGTGCATGTGGAGCCTGGTGAGGGGTGTTAGCTGCACGGCAGAGAGGGGATCTGGAAGGATTCGTTCTGGAAGAATCTGTACCTTGGCTTGTCTGATCCTGGAGGAGAAACACAGAGGGAGACAATGACACCGAGAGGAATAACGGAATAAACAAATGGTGTGCTGGGTGAATGGTATCAGGTGTATGACAGGATGTTTGTAAATGTGAGGTGATTATAAAAAGGTGCTGCCTGTACATTTTCCCTGTCAGCAGCACAAAGTAAACCTCCAATTTCTCACCCAGGATGCTCTCAGTGAACTCTCTGGAGCTCAGACATACAAACATGCACAAGAGAACAGACAGTGCAAACATATACCACGTTACAGCCACATCAGAACCTACACCAAAATTGGCATACAGTTCAATCCCGCCAAAAGACGATTTGCAGTGTTTAATCTCTATCTATTTAAACAGCGACTGTTGAAAGATAAAAATGCACTAAACTGCTGCCAAAATATGCTTCTACTGAATTTCTTTCTTTGCTTCCACAATCTGTGTTAAACATTTAAAAAATGTTTTACAGATACAACAGAGAGGAAGAGAATGACACTGAAATATGGAAAACATACGAATATTCAGTAAATAACGCTGCAAACAGAGGCCACAGCGGCAGATTCCACTTGACTGATTATTATCTTAAATGCTGTATATTTATAGTCCCTTGGAGCACAAGAAGGGGTCAACGGGGTTATGTCCAGCTATTTGCATGCATTACATAATAACAACCAGAGAAAGATGGAAATCTGTCTTAATGAAGTCAGTTTTATGGACATACAAATAAAACTTGATGATTTCCTGAGGAGTGGAGGATGTGAGCAGCCATGAGCTGTAGTCCGACTACAACAATTAAACAGGCAACATTTCTCCATAAATGCTCCCATGAGCTACCTTCCGACAAGAGGAAGCACAAAGAATGTGCTTTGCATTTTACCGTGAAAGACATTTATTAAAAGAACAAACTAAACCGTCTCGAGATGAGAGGATTACAGTATATAAGGACAAACCCTATAACTTGAACGCATCTTTAAACAACAAGTCACAGCTATAAATCTGATATAAAAACCTAAAGGTGCATGTTTGCAGTACTGACTGCTGCACTCCACAAATACAGTTGGTGGAAATTGGCTGATATTTATAGTTCACTTTTTGAAGATGACTGTATGAAGAGTTAGCCTGCCCTCTAGCTGTGGACGATGGAACCACTGTTTGAGTCATTATGAACAAAGTCCAGACTTTATACTGGGCTCCAAGAAATGGCTGATTAAAAACCGGTTCTTCTGAAGTGAACTCGTGATGATCGAGTAAATACACATCCCTGAAAAATGACACTTCATTGTTGAATTTCATTGCATAGACTTCATGATTCAATTTGTCAAGCTAGAACAAACATGCACACAGTGTAGATAGCTACATTGATTTGCAGTCTGAGTCCAGAGTTCTGCTGAGTTTCTATCTTATCAGGTCGTTAATTACAGGTAATCACATTCAGCAGATCCCTTTTTAAATCAGTCCCTGAGTCTGACTAGATAACGTGGATAAAAACCTGCATGGCTTTGAGTCCTGAAGACAACCACAAACATAACTCCATGAGAGAACAATGGCACAACTTTTATGTCTTTATTCATAGAGGGCAACTCTCATAAGAGCAAGCCTTTAGTCCTGACCTTTGGTTTAATGGTTTATGAGGCAATTTCAACTTACCCATCTGCTTGAGTTCTTATCTCATGGACCTTGAATCTCTGCCTCCCAACAGCTTTCACTTTGACTGTTTCAATGCCATATTCCTGCTCCTCACGGTATGCATAGATTTCCGCTGTTGTCCCAAACTCTGGCTCTGGCTCACCGGCATCACTGCAGAAACAAATATTAAATTAGGCCTTTCAAATTAGACTATAAATATAATTCAAAGGGGTGCTCCAGCGTTTTAGCATTGCACGTCCATGAGGTTGGGGACTCAAAAGAGACAGATTTTTAAAGGTCAAAATGATCTTAAAATATCTTGACATTTAGTTCCTACTATGGATTAAGCTTCAACGTGCTGGATCCTACATTTCCCATAGTGTAACTCGGTGGAATCTTTTATAAATAACCTCATCTTTGAAAGTCACCACCACAGGATTTGCAACACAGATTTTCTGTTAAAAATTTGACCATTTCCAGGCTGAAGCAGAGGTAATCCCGATGACAGCTCTCAGAATTTACAAAAACTCCCTAAAGTGTCACACAAGACTTATACACGTTTTTACAGGCTGAGTAAGTATACAAGTATACTGATTTTAGTGTGTGTGAAATCAGTGGAGTGTCCCTTTGACCGATATAAAAACAAAGAAATGTTTGCCATTTATCAGATTAATCGATCTGCAGAGGAAGTTCCATGGCCACATACCTGTGTGCGAGCACAGCAAAAGTGCGGTCTCTCTGGATGACGCTCCTCATCATGCTGACCTCCTGCGGCCTGAAGAGCTGGAGGGGCAGCGTCTGGCCCGGCACCAGCATCACAGCCGTGTGTGGCAGCACAGGAATGGTTTGACAGCTGTCGTCATCGTGAACTGTACGGCCGTGAAACTCCTCCATGTCTGAACCCAGATACTGCCAAGGCAGGGGTCAGCGTCAACACAACACAAAAAGACCACAACAGCTGCAGAGCACTCACAACACAACACAGCTCTCTGACGACTAAAACATATTACACACATGAGCTAACCTAACCCTCCAAAGACATGATCTGTTAAAGCGTGGCATCACTCACTGCATGTGATGTGGGAAGACTGGGGTCAAAGGTGATAATGTTGGGCTTCTCTGCCTCCTCACTGTCTCGGTCTTCAGTCTCCATGTCATCTTCCTCCTCCTCTTCCTCATTGTCTATCATGACACAAACACATAAAGGCACTCAGAGAGGCTAGTTAGCCCTTTGGATATCTCCTTACCAAAACTACAGTAGCAGCTTTATGAGCTTAACAAGTCACTCTAATGGTAAAAAAGAAAAGAAAGCGAAAGCACTGGTTTAAAAAATGTGCCAGTCAGGATCTTCATAGTGGCCTGTTGTTTAGACATGTTAGCTAGCTGTTAGCCGGATAAAGAAATAAACGCTCTGCTTGTGAAACCCCGAGCGGTGTTTTGGTGAGTTTCATTGTTACCTGGTAAAAGTTGTAACTGGTTCCCCATGTTGTCGTTGATGTTGTCTTCGCCTCCACCCCTCTCGTCAGCCATATCCCTGTGTTTACAATACTAATTTCTTCTTCTGCGTCCCTCTGCGGCGTCCTCGGTGTGCAGAACTAAGATGGCTCCCGAGCGCCCCCCGCCGACCAGAACTGGGTCTGATCATGTAAATATGGAATAAAAGAAAAAGATCCATTTAATTTATTTCCTTGAGAAGCGCCATCTGGTCTTCCACGGGGTGGAAATCAACAGTCAACAATAAATACATAAATAACAGTAATAAAATAAATCAAGTGACACAAAACAGTCAACATGACATCAACAAAAACTAAATCTCTGCTACAAAAGTCACCAACACAAAGTCAATAAATAAATCAGTAAAAATTACGGTAAATACAATCAAAAACAAGAACAAGTGCATTTGAGGTAAACAAGCAAACAAGTCTAGGTGAGTTAGGCAAATTATTTTGGTGCAGTACATAATATTCATGGTACATGAGCACTTTACATTTAGGTACTAAACCAACTATACAATACTTGGATTATACACTGTTGGATTATAATGATTGAAAAAAGCAGTGTAAGGTGCATTTACTTAAGCACCATACTTTAGTGTTGCTTGTGTCTTTCCATGTCTTGCTACCATCACATTTGATATACTATATATACTATATATGCTTTTCTACCCCACAACATTCATCTGATAGCTTCACTTACAGTTACATGTGATTGTGTTGCTTGAACTGCTGTATATGACAGTAAAGGCTTTAACAAAAGTTTTTGACATACTGAGGAGAAACTGGACACCAAAAATTAAGTCATAAAACAAGTTATTTTATTATTTTAATCTTTTAGATAGATCATAGTTGAGATTTTGTTTGTTTTACTTCAATCATATAGGCAGCAAGCTGCATTTACCAATGTAATAGTCCAAAAAAATAAAAAAAATAGAATCTGTATATAAAATATCCACTAAAGTATAATCTAACATCAAATACATTGCTATTTGAATAGATCCGCTCTCAGTTCTTTGATAAGACTTCATAAAATGACAAATACTATTGATTTGTACCAATCACAAGGCAAGGTGAGAGTAAAGAAACAACCAGAACAAGCAAATTGCAAATACAGCAATTAAAACTGGAGATAGAGATCGTGTCAGCAAATGATTTGCTATAGCAAACACTTTGGTTTGACTTAAACAGCAATCTGCAGTTACTAGAGTTTCAGAAACCGTGAACAAAAGACCGTTTGCATCTTGAATTGCCTCAGATTATGTCTCACTTATCTCTGACTGTTTCTCTATTGGGCAGTGATGAGAACAGGAGCATGTGGATGCTGTTAAGATATTAGCAGATTCTGTGGCCTTAAACATGTTCATACAGGAGTCAGTCTTGACCTTGTCTCCACAAGGGTATTTTCTGTTGGAGGAATGGGGTTAAACATCAAACGTCATAATGACCGAGACACTAGAGAATGAATAGATGCCTGCAACGACAAGTGTCAGGTGGTCCGACACCTGAAGAGGGAGACATGTCTGCAACTTGTTCCCCCTGGATGATCCATTGATGAAGAAATCACTAGTTGGTTGCAGTTTAACATACAATCATTCCTTACTGCAATTAAGCCAGTGCAGCACTGTCATCTCTGTACAGCACATTGGATTCAAGTTGAGTTTTCATATACTTCAATAGTAAAAAGGTCATCTACCCTATACGTTAGTCCAATTTTTTAAGAATGAAAGGTCACTGGATAACTTAACACTAAATGCCTCAGCCAGTGGCTGTGACTGAAAGACATCCCTAACCACCTAATTTTGCATACTTTGTATATGATACAATCTAGTTGTTTACATTTGCTTCATACACCCTAAGTAATGTTCCCTCCGTACTGTGCCATCAGTACATTTAAGTTGATGTAATTCACTGACTAACCCTGCAGAACCAAATTAAGAGGCTGAAACCTGTGGTAAATTTTAACAGTGTTCATTTATTGTTCAATACACCAAATGACAGTTGTTGGTAAACATGTATTATGGTCCATGAACATGGCAGCCGTCGTTCTGATGTTGAGAGATCTGTCCAGCGTCTTTGCCATCTTCCAGTCAGGCGTCCACAGCTGACTCCAAGAGACAGGCTATCATCTGAAAGCAGCGTTTGTTTCACTGATGGCGGCTCCACACGATCCACTTCAGCCACACACGTCAGTCATCTGAAGAGGCGCCGACGGGATCACAGCTGGCAGTGATGAGGGCTTACTTTGACCTCTGCCTCATCTTTCTCCTTTTACGCTTCAGCCTGTTGAAAATAAACAGCAGCTGTCAAGGAAATGCAGAGGTTTCCTACCCATTAATAGAGCACATATCTGGACTGAGCTTTACAGGTCATCCACACTTAATGGATTGTTTCACATGTTCACATGTTGGCAGCACCAGTCCAGAGCCACAGGTATGACCTTATAATTTGGGAATTTAATAGCCAATTGAAAAACTGAATTGGGCGTGTGAGGTTGGAATTAGCAAGCAAAGTATATATTATAAAAACATTCAGTGTTAACTGATAGTTAAGTCTTGAGAGCCCCAAACCTAATTTATTTTTTAGTGAAGCATGTGGTAAGCAATAAATTCTCAAATTAAATTATGAAGAATACTCCGTCCTGCTGCAAGGCTTGTCAGGACCTGCCACACTCTCCTACTCCATTGGTTTTATTCTATTGTTAATTTCAGAGTGCCAAACAAACATTTATTCTGGACTGAAATTTCTGCCATTTTTTCATGACTCTGAAGTGATGGGTAGCCCAGGTGAATTTATACTCAGCATATTAAATGTAGGGCAGAGAGGTGATGAAGTGTGGCGTTTGTGCATGTGCGTTCAATTTGACATTGATTGGGATGTACAGAGGTGCGTGGAAGCCTGCATGGTTTCACACATCTGATTTTTCTTCATCTTTGAAGCATACACTACTTTTCAGTATGAAGTCTACATAAGGCTTAGTACATGACATCCCATGGGTTTGTAGAACAGGAAGGGGACTATTAATGCTTACCTGCGCATACGCTTCTTCCTCCACTAAAAAGACAAAAGGAACATTTATTATTATGCAGTAAGTGCAGATAAATATCTGTATTTATATAGCACTTTTCATAAGTGCTTGAGAAAAATAAAACCAGATACAAAGGCCAAAGGGTCTGAGCATAGAAGTGAAGACAATGAAATTAATAAGCCACCATAAATATCAAACATTATGCAAAAGGATCTGACAATACAAAACAAAGATGCGTTTAAAGAAGAAATTTAGACATTAAGAGTCTCATTTCAGTTGGGAGAGAGTTCAGGAGTGTGGGTGCTCCAATAGCAAAAGCCTGGTCACCCCTAATTACAAACTTTGACCTCTAGGGAAGGGACATACTTTGTCAGCAAATCTGAGATAATTGGGGACGAGGCCATTGACAGCCTTAAATCAGTAACAGCAACAACAAAAAAAATCTAACAGGGTGCTATTGTAGGGACGCAAGCAGAGTAATGTGATTGTACCCGTTTGTTCCAGTAATGAGATGAGCAGCAGTATAACACTTGGCAAGGCAAGGGCAAATACGAGCAAGTACAACTTTTAGTAGATAGAAATTCTCCAATATTAGATATTGATTACAGAGTTAATAACCTTGAACAGTGCCTTAGTTATTTGGTTAAATAATGGATATGCACTGATGAATGAATTTAACAATGTTTAAATAGAGATGAGATGTAGAAAAGTAAGCAAAATGAAACTGCAGAATCAGCATTAAGGATGCAGAAGCATGTTGTGGGACAAAGACTGAGTTGAAAGCTGAATGGCTTCTTTACAAAACACCTTTATGATCCGTAACAGGCAAATCTACCAAGATAGGACATTCAGGAGAGATGCCAGATAAAAGCACCAGACTGAAATATTGTCTATAGATTGTGTGGCACCTTTTAAAAAGAATCTAAGATCAAAGGAGGGAGTGGGGAGGGCCACATAGGTGAATATCAAAAATAAGAAATGAGCACCCTGTCACATTTACGCATGGCAATAGATGAAAGCTTGAGAATAAAATAAATCAGAACCCATTGATTTAGGGGGCCTACAAATACGGCATGTGTGCCCTCCCACTGACCACGACAGACCCCATGGTTGTTACGGTGCAGAGAAACTGCTGCAGACTAACGTTACATTAATAATAAATACATTCATAGATATAAATACGTAAGTGGCAAAATAAGTGGTCCATTAACCAAAAAACAGCTACATAAATCCAGAGGTTTACTATTGCTAACACTGCAGCATGCACCAAGAGGGCCTACCAGTAGCATTAGCATTTGCACTACTCTGCACATATCTTGTACTGTTAACAGCTGAAGTTAATGTTATTAGCAGTGTTACAAAGACTGGAGAGCAGACACAGAGGAAAGGCATTTTAAGATAAAAGACAAGGTAAAGAAGCACATGAACGGCCATTGATACGCTAGCTAGGCAGCAGCATTGACTGGTGCGGAAAGAGGAAGATAAAAACCCACTAAACTACTGCTTATCTTACCTTGGCTCTCATCGTGTGGAGAGGTTTCTGTGAAAATGAAGCAAATAAAATTATTGGTAAATGCGGATGATGGATAAAATTTAATGATTAGTTTGGATTGTATTGGCGGCGAAATAGTTTTCCATACCTCAAAGCGAGAAGAGCAACGGAAAGAGGATGTGACGACGAAAAATGGCGGTATTTATACAGACGTTGACGTCATTTGTTCTTAGTTCAATGATGGGAAATGTAGTCCGAGAAAGATGTTCAAGGTTCAGTACAGAAGCCACATACTGTATGATAAAAAAGCAGCAAATCCTCATGTATATGGAAAATATAGCTGGAACCAGTAAATATTTGGCATTTTTACTTGAAAAATAACTGATCTTATTAATTGATTGTCAAAATAATTTATGATTAATTTTCTTTCAATTGAAGAATCAATAAATTAACTAATCATTGCAGCTGTAGACAGTCAAAAACATTAAAATCCTGACCTTGAAATCAGCAGTTGACAAAACAGTCT